TTAACTTAATCTGAAAAGAAACACGAAAGCTCTTATCACTTCAGTAAAGTTACTGCTGATGAATAAAGGACCTTATTGAAATCATTGCTTCTACACAGCTTCCCTACCATCATCCTCTCCATAATCCTGTCAGTTGTTTTACAAAAACACATCTCTGATAATGTCACTCCAAAAACAAAAAACCAAACTCACTACCATTGAGTCAATTCCAACTCAATAGAGACCCCCATTGGGTTTCCAAAGTGGTAAATCTTTATGGAAGTAGATGGCCCAATCTTCCTTCTGCAGAGTGGCTGGTGGATTTGAACCACCAACCTTCTGGTTAGCAGTCTGATGCTTTAGGGATTGTGCTACCAGATCATTGCCCCCAAATCTTTGATGAAACCTAAACACACTTCCATCCAGTCAATTTTGACTTATAGTAGAACTGCCCTTCCCTAGGGTTTCCCAGGGTATAAATCTTTATGGAAGCAGATCACCTCATCTTTCTCCCGTAGAGCCACTGGTGGGTTTGAACACCCAATCTTTTGGTTGGCAGCCGAATGCTTTAACCACTATGCCACCAGAGTTCCTTTAATCTTTGATGGCTCTTCAAAATATGCTTTACAGTATTATATCCACACACACACCCTGGCATGGCATGTAAGGTCTTTCACACCCTGGCCTCAGCCTATCTTTCCAGTCTTACTCTCAGCTTCTCTTCACATATGCTCTCCTCAAGTCACACTAGCTGTTCCTCAAAGAGTTTTGACTTTCATTATTCTGTGCCTTTGCAAATGCTGTTTCCTCTGTAGGTCCTTTTCCTCTCATATGTCTGGCAAATTCTAATTACTAAAGCTTAGCTTAAACATCACTATCTTTGTAGCTTTCCCTTACCCCTCAAAGAATCAATGTCTACCTCCATCAGTTTCTCTGTAGCAATATATTTATTTATTCTGAAAATGGACCAGGGTAACTCAGAAGGGAGGGATACAGACAGGGAAAGAGGGAACACCCTATCACTAGACTGATACATCAGAGACTGCAGCACTATGCGTTAAGCATATTGTCAAGCAGCAGTGGAAAGATGAGGCTGGATGATCTTTAAGTCATGAGGTGCTATGGCTTGCATCTTTCACACTGTGTCTATGTGTGTACGTGAGTGCATGCGTGCGTGTGTGTATGTATAAGAGAGAGAACGAGCTAGAGAGTGAGACAGAAAGAGATATGGAGGAAGAGAGGAGAGATGAGGTAAAGGGGAAACGCAGCGTAGTAAAAGCAGATAGGCGGACCCAAATTATTTTCGCTTTACATCTAGTGCTATAGCAAGAAGGGTAAGGGGGGCGGAAAGGGGAGGGACTGCACACCCTCTAAAAGCGCCGGGCCTCAGCAGCCTAATGGATCACCTTCCGCTCCAACAAGACCGGTTCCTCCTCGCTATGACTCATGCTTATTGTGCCAGACTGGGCGCGCTCTACCGTGCAACACCACAGGTGGCATGGGCTTGGTAAGACGGTCCCCGCCAGGCTAGACAGTGGAGCGCCGCACGACGCGCCTACCCGCCTCTAGGCCGCTGCCCGAGTAGTTCCAACCCAGCGCCAGCAGGCCTGCTCGATCGATCTTCGAGCCAGAGATGAGGCGGGGCTGGAAGATGGGTCTGTCCGGGGTACTGCGGTTCTGTCGCCGGGTTCTGTCCTGGGTGCCGGTGCTTGTCATTGTCCTCGTCGTGCTCTGGTCCTACTATGCCTACGTCTTTGAGCTCTGCCTAGGTAAGTTGGACTGGTTATCCAAAGCCGGGAAATTAAGCTCCAGCAAAATCATCTGTCCTACCCTTCACACTGGTGTCCGCCTGTGTTTTCAGCTCTCATACTGCGGGTTTCCTTTTGCTCCCTGGAGAGCTTCGTATCCTTAACTAGCCTCTGTCCTCCCACAGTATGTCCTGCCTCCTACAATTAGGGTCCCACCATGTCGCCATCGCCTCCCACCTAGGGTTTCTTACGTTATTTCCTGGCTCCACCCACAGTAATTATCTGACTTTTCCCACTAGGACCCCCTTTTCTGCTACAGGCCAAACACTTGTGCCTTGCGCACCCATTCTGTGTCCTAAATTTCCTCTCCCACGAGGAATCCTAGCATTGCATCCAACTAGGGGCTCCACCATTTTGCCATCCCCTCATGTACCAAAAAACAAAACAAAACAAAACAAAACAAACTTCAATTGAGAGAATTCCGACTCATAGTGACCCTTTAGAACACGTAGAACTGCTCCATAGGGTTTCCTAGGTGGTAAATTTTTATAGAAGCAGACTGGCACGTCTTTCTCCCTCAGAGCGGCTAGTGGGTTCCAACCGCCAACCTTTCATTTAGCAGCTGAGTTCTTTAACCACTGTGTCACCATAGCTCACTGTCCCCTCCTATAAAAAAACAAACCAAACGGGAGCTCTGGTGGCTTAGTGCCTAAGACCTCTGACTGCTAACCAGAAGGCTGGTGGTTCAAACCCACCAGCTACTCCTCGGAGGGAAGACTGGACAATCTACTTCCATAGTGATACTGCCTAGGAAACCCAAGGAGGGGTTGCTGTGAGTAGGATCTGCCCTCTCCTATAGGAACCCCAAAATATTTTCTAACCTCTCCTGCTACCAACTTTTACTCACACTGGGATCCATCCTTTCTTGCCAAAGTTCTCACACTCCTAATTGCTCTTAAACTTGTATGCTTCAGTGTTCCTTATTCACTCAGTGTGGAAATCCAGCATATTTTCAGTCCCCTCACATTAGGACTCCTACCTGACCCACTGAATATCACCTCACTTTCAAGTCCTTTACTCCTCTCACCTTGCAAATGGTCATTGGGGTGCCACTTTCCCCACCCAAGGACCTGAATACACTTATAACTTCATTCTCTTACAGAATTGACAAAGCAATAGTCTAAGCCTGGTAGATTGGAATTAATTAAGGAGAGAGGAGATAACCATCTCTTCCAAAATAGAACTTTCTTCTGCTCAACTGAGAATTTGAATTTTTCCTCATCTCCTTCTTAGAGATATGGAAAATAGAGAACTATTTTTACATTTTAATTAATTCAATTAGCTTATGTCATAAACACAAATTTAGGTGTTTTTTTTTTTTTT